GAAGTCGTGCGTGTGGCTTGACCCTAGCCAAATGCCCCACCCTCGTCCCCAATGTGCCCTCCCGCCACATGGGCCTCCTTTTTGTCTCCCTCAGGCCCCCCGCTCCTTCTACCCTGGGCTTCTGCTCCCTCCTCCTGGCCGCCTTCCTCCACACCCTCCTTGGTTGGCCCTTCCTGGCCATCTGCATCTCTGGAAGGCCACCTGCTCAGAGAGGCCCTTCACGCTCCACTCTTTGCTGGGCTTCACCTCTTCCTCACACCAGAAGCTCACTTGCTCGCTCTTTGGTTGGTTTATGTACATTCTACTCCCCTCGCACAAAAGCCCTGAAGGCAGGGCCTGCCAACCTTGTTTGTAGCTAAAAACATAGGGTCCCACACCTGCAGCAGGTGTCCAGCAAACACAGAATGAGGACGATGGAAGCCTGAATTCTGTTCTTAGTCTGCCGTGTGACCGTAGACAGGTCACGTTCCTTCTCTGGACCGCAGCTCTTCGGCTACAAATGAAGGAGACTATAGGCCTTTTGAGGGGCCCCGGGCCCTGTGAATGGTTGACCTCTCACCATGGGGAGCCTGGATGTAGTGGACTGGACCCCAAAAGGGTATGCCGGATGTTCCCGGTTGGCCCGGGAGGGGGCCCTGGCTTTAGAGGCTTCATTCTTCTCATGAGTATTTATTGGGCATTTATGGCATGCCAGATCCAATTCCAGGTACTGGGAGTAGAGATTCTAATAGGATTAGAGAAGCTTTGAAATTGGTCTTCTTTGATCTGGACTAGTAAATGATTACACACACCGGCTGAACCCTCTTCAAAAAGATGGATCCACGAACAATGAGAAGCGTGACAATTCCCACCACCGAGCTGAGTCTATCCCGAGATGCTCTGTACCAGTGACTGTCTGCACAGGGGCCGGAGGACGTGCTGTCACTGTCTTCCAGGAAGCAACTGAGGCACAGAGACGTGAAGGGCCTGACACGACCTCACAGGCTGGCACAGGGGCTGATGCAAATTCCCAGAAAGTCAGAGCGAAAGAAGGAAGGAGTCTCTGCGGACACTGTGAGGGGGGGGGGGGTGGACAGTGAGGGTCGCCGCAGATCCGGGAGGCCCCGTCAAGTGAGCCGACTCGTGGTCTCAGTCCAACCAAATCCAGGCCAGGGCCCAGGGTCGGGCACTGCCGTACTTGAAGGAAACTGTGGACTCTTTAATGGGGTCAGGGCCAGCAACCAAGTGGGGTTCTGTAGAGTCTGCTTCCTATAGAAGATGCTGTGCACTCTGGTGGGGTGCACTCTGCCTGCCTTTACCAGCCCCCCCCCTCACCACCCCCAGCGAAGTCAGAAGTCAGGAAACAGGCACTGGGGATGCTGCGGGCCAGAGGCCAGTGGGGGAGAGGCGGAGGACGCCAAGAGCCGGACAGGGACAGACACAGGACCGGGGGGACAGCGAGAAGGCACCCTGAGAGAAGGAGTCTGCTCCCATTTAAAGGTCTGGGGGGCACCCCCAGAAACAGACTACCGGGAGGCTGCTCAGGGTAACACGGGACTAATTTTAAACCAGGGCACGAGGCTCAGGCTGCCACCACCTGCCAGCCCGCCCCACCTGGGAGTCTGTGTGGCGGAGGGAAGTGGGGTGGAGACCACTCCGTCCTCACACCCCTGTGGTCAGCAGAGGGAGGGTCCCCTTCTCCTCCCCACCTCAGCCTCCAGTCCTACCCCCACCACGCCCAGCCAGCAGCCAGAGCTTGGGACTTTTGATGTTTACTTTGTTCTTTGTGCAGTTCAAAAGGCGCTCGGCAGGCCCCAGCCCTCGCACCAAGCCCAGCCTTAATCTCCCATGCCTCGTGCTCCCAGCTGGCCAGTTAAGGCGGTTAAGACGCTGGATTAGGGCCGGCTTTACATAACAACGCAGGAGCTAAAGCCATCCTCTCCTGGGATGGCTAAAAGACTTCTTTTTATCTTCACGCCTCAGATGGCCTTTTTTCTCCCTTAAACAGCCCTCCAGGCCGCCAAGAGGCAATGAACTTGGCCAAGAGGAAGACAAAGGAGAGATTCAGGATTCAGCGTGGCCTCCCTTGCCAGCTGCACAGAGGGACACCCGCCCCAACTCCAGGCCAGGTGGATGCGGCTCCGAGCCAGGACTCAGCCGCACCCCTCTCAACAGCCCGCAGCCCGGTGGTCTTGGCCACAGCCACGTCCCTGCCTACAGCGGCGGCCTCGGGCCCCAGCGCCAAGGGCGGCCAGAAAACCACGGCGAGCCCCGGCCACGGCCACCGGGCGGACAGGTCTGCCCTCAAGCCCCTCTCGCTCGCTGGACTTGCGCTCTCTTTTGGCTGTGAAACTGCCATTTCGCAAGGAATGTTCGATTATGTCCTTCTTGTAAAAGTTAAAACGTTAATCACAGTTATACTACAGACCTCTTTGGCCTCCCTTTCCAACTCCCTGACCCCGTGTCTGGGAGGAACTACTGCGTTCGTGTGTTTAGCTCTCTCGTGCCACAGTAGTATACATGTGTGCTGCACACGCACACACAGAAACACTGCGTGTCACCTGAGGCTTGTTTTATGTAAAAAACAACATACTGCATCGTTCTCTTAACTGGTCTGTTTCACACTGTGTGCTTCTGTGGAAGCTTTTGATGGAAGAAAGGGGCTGAGCACCTGGACCAGTCAGCAGGTTCCAACTCCTGGGAGGGAAAATGAGGCAGCCTAGAGGCCCCCGCACCTCACCTCCTCGGGGGTGGCACAGTTGCCTGGGCCCCAGGAACGGACAGGGCACAGGGTCAGGACAGACGCCACCAACCTCACACTCCCCCCAACAGGAACTGGGACTCTCAGGCACCCTGTATTTACGTTTCTTCATCGTCCAGTATTTGGAAGTGCCGCTCCCCACATTTCTCTGAGCGCCCGGAGTCTGTGCATTGCCGCCCATCATGTCGGGCAGGAGGACCCCAAAAGGCAGAGTGCTGCCCAACACGCACAGCACGTCACCGGCAGAGGAGGACAGCAGCCTGTGGGTTCCCTCTGCTGGACACCGTGCTCTGGACAAGACACCGAGCAAAGCGACCCCCTTCCAGGGGTGGAGGACAAGGGCCAGCCGCCCTGTGTGTTTGAGTAAAAGGCAAAATCAGTAACATGTTTCAGACGGCGCCTTCACAGACGGGAAAGTGTCTGGGTTTTTGCAGTAAATGGGGACTCAGTATATGACGGAGAGACGGAAAGACAGATGTGGGAGAGATGACGGAGGCCGGCTGAGTGGATTAAAGGATGAGTGCGCCAGTGATGAGCAGAGGGGAAGCAGGTGGCTGGGAGGCAGGTGAGGGCTGGCGGTGGTGAGTGACGAAGAGCAGGCGAGCGAATAAACAGGCAAGGAGGGAAGGTGGGTGGTCACTGGTGGGGCAAACGAAAGTGGATGGAGAAACGCGCTGGATGCGGGGTAGGTCCTGGATTCGTGGGTGGGTGGGTGACGGGAAGGTGATGAGTGACAGGAGGATGGACGGACAGGTGAACGGACAGGCAGGTGGTTAGGAGGGAGTGAGAGGGTCAGAGAGGAGATAGAGGGAAGGAGGGAAGGATGCATAGACGAGAGAATGAAGTTGCTAAGTTATGCTGTGATCGAGTAGATGAACAGATACACGGAATGGGGGCTGAAACCCAGAAATTAATGTCTGGGATCACACCAATCCCAGGATTTACTCTTATAGGCCTTCACCTGGCTCCCCAGATCTATCCTAAGCACCAAACCCAGGCATCTGTCCATGAGCCAGGGAGGACAGCTGAGGCTGGGAGAGGCCAGGGAATGATAGCCCAAGTCTCTCAGCACCTGAGTGCACAAGCAAACGTGTTCAAAGGCAACACCACAGCCTGGACAAAGCCAAGTGCCTGTCCATGGAACTGTCCCCCCTTGATTTGGGCCATTTTATTTTAGCAAAGTTTGACAGATACCTGGCTCCCCAGCATGTCTCCTGGGCACATGAGTGACTCTTAAAACAGTGCTCCCCAACACGTGGTGTACACGTAGCCCCCCTGTGTTCAGAGGAAGACAGGATTCAGCAGGCCTGGGTGGCACCAGAAGGTTCTACAAACTCAGGGGGCCAGATGTGGGCGCAGCCCTTAAGCCTGACCCAGGATCCCCTAGAAAACCTCTTGACGTTGTCTGCGCTCCTCTCGGGGGCCCCTCTGCCCTTGGGCCCCAGTCTCCTGACAGCCGCACACCCTTGCCCCTCCCTGGGTTTGCCCTCTGAAGGTCCAGGCTTACTGTGCCAAGGCCACCCCAGTGTGGAGATTCCCCACTCTGAGTCTGCATTGAAAATGGAAATGCTATCCTAGTTAGCATATTTTTAGGTTTTACCTGTTCTTTGTGCTAATACAGGGAATCAAACAGGAAAAAAATCCTCATTCCCATTGCACAAATGCGGAAACTAAGGCTCAGCAAAATGAAGAGGTTTGCCCGGTCGGACTGGTACAGCAGTTGCTGACAGTTCCCAGCCTTTTTGTCCTGGTTATACCTGCTTCGTTAGGAATATATAATTACTTCTAAAATAGCCTATGCCCTGCTGAAGGAAGAAGGAGTAAGAACTACAGAGGAGAAGTGAGGAGCTGGTGCATGTGCGTGCATGAGTGTGCGTGCAACTGACAGGTGTGCACACTTGCTGCAGTTGAGTGATAAAATGGAGACGTGAGGAAGGAAAACAGCTATTTTATGTAGCGTTTACTACTAGCTTAGTTTGAGAGGCCTGCGAGTAGCAACTCTGATCACCCCCAAAGGGGAAACTGAAATAAAACCACCTGTCCAGGGTCCCCCTAAAATAGCAGGGTGAGGCTATGAAGCTAGGTGCTGCAGATCCCCCGTGGGGTTGCACCTCTGAAGCTCCGGGCTTCCCTCTTGCTCTCACTCCACCCACCCCAGAGTGTGAAGTTCTGCCCCCTACCTGGTCCACAGATTTTCAGACCAGATGCCCTCCCCCGACCACGAAAAAACAAACAAACAAAAACATAGGGATTCTAGTACCTTCTAGCCGAAAGTCTTCCTCTTCCTCCTCGCTGAGTGTTTCTCTGAAAACTTCACCCAAGAACTCCTAGAAGACAAAGCAGGGCATTAGGGATGTACAGGGATCAGGTAGGAACTGGACTCTGGGTGACGGGAGGTGGCATCATCCCATCAGCCCGGCTGGAGGCAGGGACCCTGCTCTGATTCTTCTGATGGGAATTTAGGTCAACTGAAGAGGGTCCGGTCACACTTGATCAGTGATCTAGAACTGCTTTTTTTTTTTTTTTTTAAGATTTATTTATTTGTGCATACAGAACTGGGGTACAGGCCAGAGGCTCAGGGGCGGCAAGAGGCTTCACCAGAGACAGAGTGGGGAGCAGAACAGGCAGATCGATGAAGTACACTGCTGAGGGGAGCAGTGGGTGGGCCAGGAGAGGTCTGCCGCACCATGTGGTCACCTCCGAGGCAGGCGGGGATCGAACTCATGCGGAAGTGGTTTCAGCTTCTTAGTGCAGTCCTTTAACCTGCTGCACCACCAGGGAGGGCCTAGAACTGCTTTTAAGGAAGTCATTTTTTCTTAGCCTTTGGCCCACCACAAAATACTACACAGGAGTCACTTCTCCCAGAAAGGAAGTTACGCTCTCCACCCTAGACAAAGACAAAGACCAGACCAGAAAGTGTCCCTCAACTTGCCCTTTGAGCCAACCTGATGGGCCAGGGTTGACTGGCCTCCCTGTAGGGGCCTAGAAAAGGCTCAATTTGGATCCCCCTTCTCCACAGAAGTCTCAGCTCTAGGACTGAGCACTTTGGGGCGTGACACTGCTGCCCTCAACATGCCTAAACTCCTGAGCACATACTGAGGAGCCGCGAGCTCTGGTCCACGGATCTCCCAGCATGCCTCCCTCATCGCACACACCTTTCAGCATGGAGCCTGGTTCTTCACAGGCCTCGCCCGGCCCCATCTGCAAGTTAAAGGCGCCTTGGCACCTCATCCCATGTGGCCAAGCTGCTTCCAAATATCCTGGCCAGTCGGCCACTCAGCTGTGGTCAGGCTGGCCGGGGAGTGCGGTTGGCCCACAGGCTGTCAAATGTCTGGGATGTCAACAAAGGTCCCCTGTCGCTGACCCCCGGAAGGGTGGCTGAAGCTACTGGAGAAGCTAGAGCAGGCGTCGTCACACTTTTCTCTGTATTTATTGGCATTCTGCCAAGAAGAGTTCTGTGATCAAAAAGGACAGTTTTAAGCAGGGTTCAACAAGGTCCGCTGCGGCAGGACCGGCTGGGGTCTCGGACACTGAGTGTCCAGCAACGGCTTGTGCCGCATTCCTCGGGCTCTGCAGACCGTGGGAGTTTGTTTTTCAAAAGCGGCACGTGGGCTTTGGTTCCAACGACACCACTTAGGGAAGTGCTCCTCTTCCGGGTGAGTGACAAGTCGTGGGGGTGCAGCCGCCTCATCTCTGTGACGCCGTCGTGTGCCCTGGCGCACTCAAACTGCAAACTGACAAGCAATGAAAAAGCCCAACCCGGCAGCTGTCACAAGCTCTTCTGTTTGAAAAAAGAAAAAACACTCTCTCCTTGAAAAGCAGGGGGGAAATCCTACACCTTAGATGCTTAAAAAGAAAAATCAGTGCCCGTTTGGATTAGCAAAAGAAAACAAAGCTTTGTGCAGCTGATCGTATCAGCTGGGCACAGCTGGAGGTGAGTCTCTCTCTCTCTTTTAAAGAGTAACAGCGAACATTTCATGGATGAGGGTTGTTCCCTCCTCTCTTGCTTCCTTCCAATCAGTCTGGGGCATCCCACTCTTCAAGGTTGTCAGAATGTGGACATTCGGACTCATGGCCCTTTCAACACCAGGCCCCTTGCTTCAGGCCGATGGCTTCGCTCTCCTCTGCCGCCAATTATGATGATCACCCAACACTTCCCGGGCTTGTAAACTGGCTGCTTGTGTTAACGGAGTCAGAGTTGACAGGGGAGCTGGGAGACGGTGACAGGAAAGGGACTCACCCGTGGCATCATTAGAGGCTGGGATGTGCCGGCAGCCAATTAAAGCCCGTCGTTCATGCCGGCGGAAGATGGGGCCGCCTTCCCTGAAAGGCTGGCAGGCAGCGCCTTCTCACAGCAGCCGACAACCATCTTCAAGAGAGCCACACACCCCTTGCCTCTGAGGTGCCTGCAGAGGGGCTCCCCAAGGACCTCGGACCAGCCTGACCACTCCACAGTGACGCTGACAGCATCTGTGAGCTTCAGAGAGCTCTAGTCTTTGTACGGGTCCCCTTGGAGGGATGGAAAGGCTCCAGGCAGCAGCCCCAGCAAAGCAGCCACTTGGGGCCCCCGTAAGGACGCCTCGCAATGTGTCAAGGCACCCTCAGTCGTCTGCGTCTGATGGCTTCAAACGCATTCGGAGAACTGTCTGCTCGGAGGCCCGAGCTCCCTGACATATTACAGATATGTCTCTACATATTAAAGCAGAGTTCTGGCATGTTCTGGGGTGAGCCTTTTCCCTCTAAACCACACTCCACTCTGTAGAGCACTTTGAAAGCTCTTGGGTGCCATGCTCGGCTAATCCACTGCGAAGCAGTGTGTCCAGATCGTCAGGGGAGTCACAAGGGCAGGGAGCGAAGAACTGAGCCCGACGCAGCTCATGTCCTGCCTCCTCAGCACCCTCACGCCCCTGGACCTGGAGTCTGCCACTGCCTCCTTGGCGCTTCACTCTGCCAACCGGAGCCAGGGCACCATGATAAATCCCTGTGACAAGACAGATGGCACCGATGTACATGTCCACGTGCCCCTTGAGGCCCTTGATGCATTTACATACACAGCATTTACATACGTAGCATTTACATACGTGTACGTATTGACTCCTTTCCTCATCGCAACCTCCCTCTTCCTTTCTCTCAAGGAATGGACACTCATCCAAGTGATTTGCAATTTATAAAATGAAGGGTATCTTGTCACCATTTTTTTCCACCTAAAAAGTACCTCTGAACACTCAAGGGCAATAAGACAGAAAACTCAGGTAAAGGACAGCCAGTTGCATTCAGCTGCCAGGCCTGAGCTTGCACCATGAACGGGCTCCTGTGGGCATATGTTGGGGTGGCCCAAAGTCCTGGCACTAACAGGGGCAAGGATCGAGCCTAAAACAGTACAAAGCATCACAGACCCTACAGCTCAATTCCAGCAGCTGTCCAGGAGCCCCCAAAGGCCCCCACAGAGCCTCCCCACGAAGCTCGGGGCTTGGCTGCGTGCTGAGCCCCGGCCTGCATGCAAGCTCAGAGGGCCAGGTATTCGGACTCCTTGATGGCCACGAACCCCACTTGGAACCCTCATCAGGGTAGGGGGCTGGAGTGGGTCAGACTGTGGTTCAGCTCCCAGATGTACCCCGCACAAGCTGGGTCCTCTGAGTGATGGACGAAACGTCATCTCCAGTGTGCCTCAGTCTCCAGATCTGTACACAGGACGACAGCACTCAAGATGGCTCAGGTAGTCATGAAGACGAAGGGAGAGCTCAGTATTGCACCTAAGACCACCTCTGGGCTCAACAGAATATAGCACTCACTGCTTGTTACTCCTGCTGCTGTGGCCGAGTGGCCGCCAGAACATGGCCGGGAGCAGCCGAAGGCCCAAGGTGTCCTCACGGACACCTGTAAAGACGACCCGGTCTTGCGCAGGCAGCTATGTTTAGCGCTTTGCATTAATCCCACAGCAGTGTGCACACTGGCTCCCTTCACCTGCCCCTTCTGTCCCTAGTCATAGCTCTGGCCCCAGGACAGTTAGGCTCCACCTCTGCTCCTGTCCAGTCTGGGGCCAGGCAGCCCGTGCCCAGAGGCCAGGCTTGGCGGTCTCTCTGGCCACAGGGCCCAGAGCTGCCTCCCTTCCGCCATTCGGGCCCCAGAAAGACAGGCCGGCTCCCCCAGCACTGAGCGTGCAGCCAGCACCAGCTCGGAGCCCAGGCTGCAGGGGCAAAGCCTTATAAGGCCTCCGGGACGGGGAACCACATCAGAGCAGGGCCTTGGGGGCAGGCTGGAGTGGCGTTGGGGTTTTTCCTCCTTGTCTTGAGACTGCATACTCCTCAGCTTAATATCTTCCCCCACCGCCTGCCCCAGCAGCTCTTTGTCAATCTTTCTGTTCTCTAAGAGCTAACAGATGTTGGTGCCACGGGGTTTCAAAGGAAACTCCTAGTGCCCACAGAACACGGTACAACTTGGAGATTCCAAGAATGTCCAGGGTTGGGACCTGTGGGGGGAGGGACGAGTGAGAGCAGAGCCCAGTCACCCTGTAACCCTTAGATCCAAGCAGTCTGGCCTGGAACTGCCCCAGGAAATTCCTGGCGAGCAGCGTTCTCTTCCCAGCACGCTGTAAGAGGCCGCCCGGCCGTGGTCCCGGGGAGGCGGCGCCGTGGGCAGGCTCGCTGAGTGCAAGCTCTCCAGGGCAGGCACAGGCCACGCCCAGCGCCCACCCGACCTGGGAGTGGGTGCCAGCCACCACCCTCGACAGCTGAGTGACAGCAGACGCCTCACTTAACCCCTGGGCCCCATTTTATTCTTTAGTAAAATGGGAATTTAGATGTCAAAGAGCCCCTGAGGCCACACAGAAAGCGTCCCAGGAGGCATGGGGACACTAAGGGTAAGCTTTTCTCCTACCCGTGGCCCCCACTTGAACCACGAGCTCAGTACATCCTCACACCTCATGCTGGCTCGTGCGCAGTGTCTCTGTGTCCATCGCCAGACAATTCGCACATGGACACAGCAGGGAGGGCGGTCCAGTCGGCGATGACGAGGGCAGCTGTTTCCCTGCTACCCAACAGCTGGGACATCTGCAGCAACAGCTGGACATGCAGTGGACACCACGCAGGAAGAGCCAGGGATGTGAGCCCCGCTCGCGCGTCAACAGGGCGACGCACAGGGCGGGGTGTGACCACATCTAAGGGAATCACACAAACGCATCAGCTCACCCACATGCACAAGGCACCCACGGCTACCCCAAGGAGGGGAGAGGGAAGCGAAGGGGAGTTGGTTCCAATACGGGAGAGCATAGTCACATCACCTGGGTCAGCACAGCCTGATGGACAAAACCGCACACAACAGGCCATTT